CGTTATCTTCATATTTTATTTTAACCTATTAAACAAACTAAAATAGTTATTCTTTAGTTATATTTTTAATGCAAAAATGAAAACAAACAGTGATAGATCTCAATAAAAAAAAAAAATTCAAACGATACAAATCTGTGAAATGGCAAAAAAAAGTGATCCCTGAAAATTCCAGAGGTGGGATCAAGTCCCTAGAAAGAGTAAGCATCCCCTGGCAACTGGTCACATCCGTCGTTAGCCCTTTACATCCATCAGACGGAATTTTCGTAAAAAAAACATAGGCCGAGCATTTGGTTTGAAATATAATGCACGATGTCTCTTTTGATTCATTACTACCTTACGTAAATCAACAGTTAGGTCTACATCATATTCGCATCAAACTTTGCTCTGTCCCTTTGAAACGTTTAAATAGTCTTCTTTAAAAGGTCAAGGAAAGTCCATTTTTTGATTCCTCGACACCAGAATATAGGCTCGGATATGTGATTATGGATATTGCAAATCATAGGCTTTTTAAACCCCCACGTTTTACGGAAGAAAATACAGCTAAAACAATCCGTTTTTTTCCTTAAACTTCAATATGCCAACAAAAAAAATTGACGCGTTTAATATAAGTAATATTTCAATTTAAAGACTATACATTGTATTTCCTACAAATATACATCGACTATTGCTTCAAACTTTTTAATTACAAAAAAACTTTACAGGGCCTGGATATCGAATATCTGAAACATAATCCTCCATAGCGTTCATGTTCTTCTTCACCCTATAACTATAGTTTATTTGTATGCTGTTTAACGTCCCTCTCGAGAATTTTTCACTCATATGGAGATATAACTATAGTCCTGCTTAAACGTTATTACTGGTGACGTAAATATAGTTAATAATGAGGACCTTAGATCACTAATTTTAAAAGGTCCTAAATATAGGGAACCCCGATACTTCAATTGGCGTCGGAATTTCATAAATATTATGGATTCTGTGGAGGATGTACCCAATCTCAAGTAACAAATTATATCAATACGACTCTATACTCTTGAACAAGTCCCCAATCATTCAGTAAGATTTCTTATAGCTTTATGAAAATTAAAATGGGAAGCTTCTATTTTATTTCTCAAAGAGCTGTTGACAAACATTTGTGTTAAGTTGCTTTTTTGTGCTTCAGTTCGGGAGGAAAATTTTTCATCTTAAAATGTCATGCAGTTTTCAAACAAATAGTAATTTTCTTTCTGAAATGATTGCAGGTTTCTTCAATATTTCCGCGCTTTATTTGTCATCTGTCCTTCATTGATAAACAAAATAATCTCCTTTACCCAATGACGCTTCGTGGTAATTTTGATTGAAATTGGCTTAGTTTCTGGAGGAGATGTTAACTGACAGACAGACTGACGAACAAAGGGACGACAGACAAAATGGGATCAGAAAAACATACTTGACCCTTCAGCTCAATTAATTATTTTTAGCTTTTATGTTCAGTGAAGGCATGCTTAATTAATTTAGGTACTTTTAAATTCATTCAAATTTGGTTACTTTTAAAGGAATGTGTCACAGGAAAATACGGTGTTTATGGTTTATGTTTATTCATATACTTTTAAATGATATATTGACAAAGATTTGGGTATATTTGCTATTATTTGCCATTGCAAGTATTTGAGAACAGGTAGATATTTTTTTTTTCATTTATTACAGTTTTCACATATATATATTATATATACATACATATATTGATGTTATGAGATATACTAAAGATTTAGGGGTTCTATTTGTCATCCCTCCTTTATCGATGTTCAAATACATAAATCTCCGTATCAGAAAAAAAAAATCTCGTCTTAATAACGTATAAAAGTTTTATTTATTAAAATAGGTAGAAGTAAATAACAAATCTATATATTAAGAAAGCAGAGATTCTTGTCTAGGAGTTACGATTACTTTTCTGGACAACAACTTATTGGTGTAAAGTTTGTACCCATTAGCTAAGATTCGGTTAACTTTTCTTGGTGAGTTTGAATTTTCCATCACTGAAAATTTTACACCAATTTATTTTCATTTGCCATGATTTCTGCTTTTTATTACTTGTCTCAAGGTAAGTGTAGATCACATTCTGTATTTATATTTTACAGCAGAATTGTTATAAAGACGTATAGTCAAAATAAAGATTTTTTCACATACTGTAGCATAGCATTAGTCATAATTTATCATTGTAATTTTGCTTCATTGATTGTACATGTATGTTATTTTAGGTACCAGTCGAGAATTGTTCACTCATGTAGAGACGTCACCATATACCATTGAAGGGCTTCAAAGTTTGACCTTTTCTTGGCACTTAGGGCCATTGAGCAGTGGTGAGGGATCTTTATCGTTCCATCACAAGCCGTAAGATTGGGCCTCGGTTTTTAAGGTCTCATCCGAAAGACTCGCAACTTTAACTTGTCGAGTGCTTGCCGAAAGAACAGTTGCTACCTATTTTTTTTTTATTGAATTAGGTCAGTCGCGACCGAGATTAGAACACACGACCTTTCGATCACTGAGCGAGCGCTCTACCGACGGTCCATTGTAATTTTGAAAATTTGACATTCATATCGATACTATGTCATGAGAAAAGTTTGATTAAAATGCAGTTTAGTGACCCGTAATTCCTTGTTATAGATTTAGAATGTATATTAACAGAGCAAACACGGACCTCTAAAACATCAGAGATGGGATCAGGTGCATTGAGAAGTGAGCATTCCCTGCCGACTGGTCACAACCACCGTGTGCTCCTTATTATGATCGGGCAAACGGAAAAATCTGTCGACAAATCAGTTGAAAATAATGGCTTAACTATCTGTGTGAAAAAATCTGTCAACACTCGACTTAATGATAAATTGAATTTCCTAACAAGGTCATTGAATCGACAATAGAATTTTATAAATGTTGACTTAAAACGGGACTGTTGATATCTTTGTATCATGAACTTATTTGTCAATAGCTTGCCTCGTTTCGAATAAATTTGGAGACATAAACTACATAATTATGCAGATGGTATTAATATATTGCTAAATAAGTAGGTGAAGTTGACGATTAAAAAATTTGAAGTCATCATGTTTATTAAAACATTTTGTTTTTAGGTTGTCATGAATGTCTTCTAGTTGATTATCCAAATATGTAACAGATGTGTCAGACTCTATGGTGTCTTTTATTTTGAGTTGAAAGGGCAATATCGAATCAACCTATGAATTAAAATGAATATTGTTAATTGAGAAAATGTCGTTGATATATCTAACTGTCGAATTGAAGGCCAAAGTAAGAGAATTCTTCTTTTTATGTTTTTGAATACGTTTTGCTTCATATGAATATAAAAAAAAAATAGATCAGCTTATAAGGGGCGCAATTAGAACCCTTGGTAATTCCAACAGATTGTTGGAAGATTTTATCTCCAAAAACTACACAGATATTGTCAATCAAACAGTCATGCATCTTTTTATATCAACTTCGGTGTACTTATGTGTGCAATCGGAATGTTTTTTTTTTTACAAAATAATTTAGCAAATGACCAATGACAAAGTAAGTAAATTTACGAGTTCCATTTTTATTGAAAAAAGCAGAGCTAGCTATTAGGTAAGACTTGATTTTTTGAAGAAAATGCTTATTTTTCCAGGGTACCCGATAAGTAAGTAAGTAAGTAAGTAAATTTTATTTAAAGTCGGCATTTTTTACAAAGTTTAACAATGAACATGAGCTCTGTAGAGCTCTTAAACCGACTATCACAGCTAAAAATATCACAGAAAACATTTACAACATAAATTAACATGCAAAAAACAGATGTACATATATACACACGCATGGCAGATAAAACAAATTTAAGAATTAGAAAAAAAAGAACAGAAAACTGAAGAGCAAAATGATTGCATTAAGAACAAAAATAAAAAAAAATAAGCATTATCATAATAACAAATTAGATAAAGCACTATATTAAACACATGGGATCAGATTAAAAGCACTAATTGTATTAATAATAGAAAAATAAAATTGATAGCTTAGAAACTTAAAAATTCAGGCAAATACAGCTTAACCAAAAATTTAAAATAATAATAATAATAATAATAATTAAAGTTCCTCACCAACACACATCCTGTCTAGTGATTGGGTCAGTCCCTACCTACTACCCACATCTGGTGTATCCAGAGGTCCATGTATTTGCTTTGTTTACTATTTGTATTCCTTACTGGTTTTATGAGATTGATCAATGTTCGTTATTTTCAACCTTTATATCTTAAAGACTTTTTACCATATTAAACACATCTTTGGATTTTTCCTCTTTGTTATTTTTAGTAACTTTCAAAATATAATTTTGCACGTGACATCAAGCAAACCAATCATATTGATTGAAACACAAAATAAAAATAACATTAAACTTTATGAAATAGTAAGTATTTCGTTTTCGTCATTCCTTCCTCTGTATTTGTTTCTGTACTTCAAGACATACCTAAGCCATTACTACCCGAGACAAATATGTAACGTTACCGCAACAAAATACTTTTCCTACAATGTATACGCGATAAAATTGATATAAAAGATAAATCCCATGACAAATATAAATTCAAGCCAAAATGTGGACAGAAAAAAAATTACAACCCTTGACAGGAATTATTCACTGGGGAATAGTTCCTGTCAAGGGTTTGATTAAAGAGCTATCCCAATCACTGTCAGTGGATAAGTGTATATATTTGAAGCTTGCTTGAAAACGTATTTTTCCACTTGGAGAAGAAAGCGTCTGCATTCAAGAAGTGGGCACTGGTTCCAAATGAAAAAAATATATATATATTAAGAAAATTAAGATAATATTATAATAATAATTATTAAGTTTAACTTCATCATTTATTTCCCTAGAACCCGATGACATCATTTGCACTCTTATAGGCGCTAAATACCTTGGCATATACCTTGTACTTTCAGTACTTTGATTTTTTAAATTGGCTTAACGTGAAAAGAGAGGTAACTCTTACACGCGTCAAGAATGACAGAAAAACTTAGCGACATAGTTACAGCGACGCTATTATTTTAGTGGAATTTGGAATGGCTAACGATGAGCAACAGTTACATTTGGCTGTAAGAAACAGAGACAAGGAGAAAATAGAGAGATTAATCACGAACGGGGTGGATGTAAATTGTATGTTCTACGGGTGGACACCGCTACAACTCGCTTTACAAAAAGGTAAACACGCTTTGTGTACGGTTCGAATTATCTCTATTTTTTATGTTAAGGGGGTGTTGACCGAGTTATACGTGTATGTTAAAGATATATTAGATCATAATTTTTAAATATCGGTACCTGTACATATTGTGTGAGATTTGTATTTCGTATTCATTGTACATTCATTAAAATTGAAAAAAACTTTGAGCACATGAATACTTGCATGAAGATTAACATTAATGAATTTTATGCCTGTAGATCTATATACATTTATGTGTGATGAATAATCAAGATCAGAGCGTGTGTGTTTATGTTGCTTCATAGAAGAAGTAGGCGTGTGTATTTCATGTTTAACCTCTGTCCCGTTATGATAACTAGTAGATTCAGTAAAAAAAAATATCCAATACTTGTACTCGCGTCTCTTTTCTGTAATATCTTTTTTCTCTGTTACACAGGATATGAAGATGAAGCCTTACTTCTGATCGACAAAGGGTGCGATGTTCATCTCCACGACAAAAACAGCGTGTCGCCATTCGAGGAGTGTCTACGCAAGAATCTCATCAAAGTAAATTAAAATCTAGCATATCATTTTTGATTTTTGTCATTGTGCATGCATTTAAGAAATAAATATTTCAAATGTTTACTTAATTACCTACATCATTTGGAAACATATATTAAAAAGTTAAATTATTTTCAAAAAAATTTTGATAGATAGTGCTCATTTGGTTTAATATAATAGCCTTTTTCATATTATAAGAATTTTATTCTAAAAAAAAAAAAAAAAAAAAAAAAAAAAAAAAATCATGGAAATTTTGAGTGTAAAACAAGCTTATTAACTATCAATTTGAAATTTTTGTACTTTACCAGAAAATAATTTAAAAAAAATATTTCCCACCCATTCATCCATGATGCAGAGTTAAGCAGGGAGAATAGATCGAATTTTTCACAGTGGGTTTTTAATTTTCTGCTTTACTTACTTGAATAATACGTTTCACAGGTTCTCACAAAAATTTTAAACAAAGGGGAAGATGCCAATGCTGTATTGTCTAATGGAGAGCCGCCAATTTGTGAAGCTGTGAAAAATGCCAACAAAAATGTAGTATCAACACTCATTAAAGGTAAGATCTACTGGAATATATATTGATAAACAAAACTAAAATAAGTTTATTTATTTATTTATTTCTTATTTGAGGAATATTACAGTTCTACCTGAGCAATAATTGAAAGTAAACATGTGTAAGTGTTTTTATTGAAGAGGAAATACGTTTAATAAAATGGACTTACCTCTCTTTGTCTGTCCTGCTAGTGCGTCTGTCTGACTAAAGCTCGGGTTGGATAGCACATTTTATACGATTACCCCAGGATAAGCTTTGTCGAATTCTTCGATTAAGATCAAAATAATATTATGCGAATAACTTTTTTCATTTGCATTTATTTGAAAATAGCTCAAATAAATGAGTTTGGTTAACTAATTCGTTCTATAGTTTCTGATCACAGTGTTTAGTATAAAAGACTTCTTAAAACCGCAATAATTTTAGTTATCTTTTTTTAACACTTTTAAACCTTCCTGTCTCTGTTGTTTTATTTTTACCAATGCAACTTATTTGAATTTATTTCTTAAGTTTTACAGTTAAACAAATAATATTGTACATGTGTGATTTGATGATAATTTGTAATTACGTATAACATACAACAATAGGTAAATGTAATGTAAACATAGAGGGAAGCAACGGAGAAAGTCCTCTGTTTACTGCCGCCAAATCTGGATACAGCGACATCTGTCATCTTCTACTTGACGCAGGCGCAGACTCGGACTTCGTGCTTCCGGCCAATCAACACACTCCTCTCATTACAGCAGCAAGCAATGACAACGATGATGTCATCAAAGCACTTCTTAAGGTTAGTAGTTAGCAGGCCTTTTGTGATCTCTAAAATTTAGGTGCAGTTGACTCCTGATCAGAAAAAATAAGGCACCAATGCAAATCTTGAGGAGCCAGGCGGATTATCTTTTTTAAGGCACAAACACTGTAAACTTCTAACATCTAATACTATTCCGTATACTAAAGCTATGCCGTTTTCTTGAACTTGACAGCGTTGAGGATTCTTAGCTTGCGCCAAAGAATGCGCTCAAACTTCCTTGTCTCTTCGTCAATTAAAATGCGGTGAAGAAGGGATTCATTTTATATGAAAGTTATATTCAAACAAAATGCGCATATAATTCCGAAATTTTTCGGTTGTTTAGTATATATATATAATTATTTGGGAATTTTATGACTTATTTTTAAACTTAAGGCGCAAATTGGAAATTTTAAACGCCATTGTGACTAAATTATATACACCGGAATTGTCAGAAAAATGACATTTGTTTCAAATATCTTCACAGTGAAGCACCTTTACCTGAACCAGTGGTGTTAATGGGAACTTAAATATTTGTCTTGCTTTAGTAAGAAAATATATTAACTCTGTCAGTTATCCAGTAGGTATAATGACTTCTCTGACATCACCTTCAACTTCATTTTTATCATTCGTTAGAATAACTAGAAAAAAAACTTGAAATAAATTCTCATATAAAGCAATTTATCTTAAATTGACCTTTAGAGCTCTGATGATTGATTAAGTGAATTCATTAAGAAACACATGGCGGTTTTTATCATATGTAGATTTTGAATTAGTTTACTTCAAACTACCTGCCCTTTACAGTTTTATCTTGATAATTTATTACACTTTTATATCACTACAATGGAATTTATCTTTAATGACGACCATATTTAGTAGAAGAAGAATTTCAAATTCAAGCAAATGTAGTGTAGCCTACTGGGCAAAGGTTAAAAAAAATGTCAATTTTTAAAAAAAAACTTTTTATTTCAATATTTTTTTTTATTGACGGCAAAGTGTATGTCTATTTTAAATAGCACGGATGTGACGTAAATCACTGTGACGTCATGGGGAAGACAGCACTATGGCATGCCTACAGCAACAGTAATACGGACAGCATGAAGCTTCTACTGAGGGCCGGGGCTGATAAAAATCTTCCCAACTCTGACGGCCAGACCATATTAGACGATGCTAAAGACGCAGACGATGATGACGTCATAGAACTATTGTCAAAATTTAGCCAATCTTGGACCTGATGTGTTACAATGCTTTTATAATCTAGCCAATTTGAAATGTGTTCATGATCCTCTTTTTGAATTATAAGAATGTATACAATGCAAGTTTATTTAATTATTCAATAAAAATTACTTCTCTTCAGAAATAAAATTATTATTATTCACGATGATTGAGTATATATTCAGAGGATTTTGAAAAGCTTTCTATTTACATTTATATTTATGCAATAAGCTAAAGTCCCTAATTCTTAAAATGACAACACTTCCAGTATACGTAGAATTCAATCATAACAGAAGCACTAATAAAAAAGTATTTTTTAAAAAATAAATTTAAATAGAATTATTTAGCTAAGAACAGCTCAACCGACAAAAGGACTACTAGACTGTGAAAACCTAAGTTTTACCTATGAAATTGCCTGAAGAATAATATACCTAGATCAATTAACAATAATTAATTTCATTTATATGCCGACTCGATATATCCCGGTGAACTCAAAATAAAAGACAACGTAGAATCTGCTACATCTGTTTCATATTTGGATGTTTCACTGACTATATACGATAATGGCTAACAACTGTATAACAAGAAGGAGGGCTTCAGGTTTTCCATCGTCAACTTTCCTTAATTATGTAGTTATATTCCACGATCACCTGCATAGGGTGTTTATGTCTCCAAACTGATTTGATTTGAAGAGCGTTTTTGACTACGAACAACTTTTAAACTGAAGCAGGTTATAGGGATTTAAACAACCTTCTTTAAAGTCAACATATTGCAAATTCTGTTATCGTTATTGTGACCTTGTTTGCAAATTAAACATATCGTTGGGTCGTTTCTTTGCTGATGTTTCATAACTATTGTAAGGTCATTATTTTTATACTTGCTAATTTTGACTAAAAGTTACTCTGTTTACCTGATCAATGCGGAGGTGATTAGTCAACAGGGTATGATCACTCAAACTAGGCACCTGACACCACCTTTGGTGCGTCCAGAGAGCCTTTTTTTGTTTTCCTGCTTTCAATTGTCATTATTTACAGGAGATATAAGATTGTTTACAGTTCGTTATATTCATCCTTTTCATTCTAGCTGAAAATGCAAGTGACAACATGACCATAGTCATTATTTCCATTGCATTCAAGAAGAACTTGTATTTTATTTTTCAAATGGTAATCAAGCTTAAACTCTTCTGAAAGGAAGAGATTGATCAAAATCTAAGGTCGGTTGAAAATAGTTTTTCAATTTTCATTGTATAATATAGAAAATAAACGTTGTTTATTTGATTACAGGGATGAACGACTAGTTATCATTGCAGCCAAAAATTACATAGTTCAGCCTATGTAGGTTTTGTTTCTTACTGCAATGGTGCAACCATTCTTCCCCAATAGACAAATCAAGAGAGCATTTATGTGAATTATTTAATTGACAACAATTAAACAATTCTTCTTTGTTTGTTTAAACAATTAAACATGTTCGTATTAACATCATACGACGTCCGAAAATTTCTCCCACTCACTTGAGATGTGTGATATATATTCGAATTAGGAAAAGGCGATGGAGATAATCAGAAATCTTAGGCTCAAAATTGTAAATCAATTATTTTTTTTTATAAGAGGTACTATATTTTATTTATCCTAATTTTCTAAATTAAGTGGTAAACTGACCTCCAGAAGTAGCGTTTGGTTAAACTACAGTCAAACCTCGTTATCTAGAATTACTTCATTTTTTGTTATGTTTTATTTTATATAGACGTAGGTTACTGTCATATGACACGTAACTACTGCAATCAAAAGTACCTTTCTTTAGACAAAACCGCATCAAAGGAATTAGCACTGATGGTAAGGAGGGGACAATTTGATGACGAACCAAAGATCTCGGCTTCTAAGTCTATCTGCGTAATCAATTAGATATCAAACAAAATGACAAAATAAACCCCCAGAGAATCAACGTCTCCAGAGAGCTTAGTCTTGGAAGGATCATCTGGTTTCATCGACCTTTGAGTATGTTTATAGGTGACGCTGCTGACCGAAGAATGTCTTGTCTAGTTCTATAGTCTGCCAGATTGTCTGTTTAAAAAGTCTGTTGGTATATTCGGTGTCTGAATAAAATCAGCGTTTCTTAGCAAAGAAGCATTTATCACTGTTAAAGAAAAGATTTAAAAAAAAAAAATTATTATGGTAAACAGTTTAGTCGATCATGTGATTAGCAACGACAGCCTGGTTAATCTTTTGATTAATCATATTCATTTCATGTTTGGGAAGACATCGTTTGAAAAACATATACTCTTATGTACTTTTGAGTTCTTATTAAGTTACATATAGAACTAATTAATCGAACGTGCAAAATTTATCATCGGATATACTGTTTAGCTTTATATATATATTTTTTTTTTTTGGAAAAGTTTTGATGAGAGGAATAAACTATATAAGCTCCCGTTTTCGTATTCACCATTCAAAATATCAATTCATCCTCTGGCTTTTTCACTGGAAATGCAATATCGGAAATACAGACAACCATCATTTTGCACTTTTTGTTTGATTCGCATAATCAGTTACTTTCTATTAAGAAGGATTAACGACTTATTTCATTGTAGGAGGTATACAGAACAGATGCTCGCTGACATTTTAAATCGTTTGATCTGTTTGAATTTTTAATCCAGTAATGATATTCTACTGTGAAAGTGAATTACTGCCGGGTATTCAACTATAGGACGAAGCTTTGAATATTCTTTGTGCTAGTATGAATTAGGGTTTAATTTGAAATCAACGATTGAAATCGCTATAATGAATTAAGCTGATTTTTTTTCATAAAGTTAAGAGAATTATGAGACAATATCTAATGTTTAATTTTACTCGAGCTCGTACTTACACCCACTCAAGATAATGCATAACCAATCTCGGTTTATGGACTCTGATTGTAGATAAATGTAGACTACTCATTCTAGGAAGATTATTAAAAAACAACCATTTTTTTCAAGGTCAAGTTTATATATAAGTTTATAAAGGTTAAGTTTATATAATCAATGTTTATAATTTTAATGTCGCTAAAAATCTATTTTATAATTAACAATGATCAAATAATATTTGATAAAAAGGCATTTTCTACATTTGTAATCAAGTGTGAATACAGCAAGTGTGATAAACAATTTATTGTCTTCTCTAGAAAATTTTCAATTTATATAAAATTGCATTGTAAACTTCCTCCAGCTTATTTAAATCACATTGGCAAATTTAAAGCGATTCCAAATAAAAGACATTATAATGATAAAGGAGTGTGTGATTTTTTTTAGTAGGGGATATATTTGTCTTCAATTTTGCTACAAATCTTTATTTGGATTTGAAGCTTCTTTGCTTGTATGTTAAAGAACAAGAAATACCCTAGAAATTTGACATATTGAAAACGAAACTTTGAAATTCATTATATAGCTAATTAAGAATTTACAAAAGGAACGAATTTCCAAAATGCATCGCATAAAAATCGCATTAAGCGATTGAGGGGCAATATGAAAACCATGTATCCTGCTGTCTGCAATCATACAGAAGTGAAAAAAAGAGATCGATTCCACGATCAGTATGTACTGGTCCCCGCTTACAAAGCAGATAACAACATTGTCTTTGTTTGTAAGGCTCATTGTTTTAACTGTATTTTAGAGGAGCTGGGATTTAATTCTGCGATTGGCAATCCTACTTATACCCATAGCTCCCTTTCTTAAGAGGAAATTTTTCAAAATCATATATCAGTTTTAAATATTCCCAACAATCAAAATGAATTCAAATTACCATACCTATACTTGATTCCTGAACGTCATAAAAATCCTTACTTACAAAGATACATAGCAGGTTCCAGTAAAATTAAATGTTCTAACTAGCCTCTTTCCTTACTCCTCACTAAAATATTAACAGTTTCAGGAGTACTTTACAACAATATATTCAAAAAGAGGTGTAAATCAGATGTGGATACTTAATAGACATTGCTAGAGGTGAAATATAATAAAGCTACACACTGGGTTTAAAGACATCAAGGAACTTTTAGAAAACATTTTACAAAAAAAAAAAAAAAAAAAAAAAAAAACCTCGTAAATTTACTTCCCTTGTCATTCGTCATTTGCAAAATTATTTTGTTAAAAAAAACTTCAGATTGTACACACAAGTACTCAGAAGTGGATATTAAAAGAATGCTTGAGTTTTTGATTGATAACATCTATTTAGTTTTCTTGGATATCAACAATCTGTCGGAATTGCAATGGTACCAATTGCTCCCCATTATTAGCAGACCTATTTTGTATTGATATGAAGCAGAATTACATGTAATTCAAAAACTTACACATAAGAAAAATTTGCTGTGGCCTTCAACTCGACATTTAGATGTATCGACGACGTATTATCAATAAACAAGATTTACTTCCATTCATATGTCGACTCGATAAATCACAGTGAACTTGAAATTAAAGATACCAAAGAGTCTGACACATCTGTTTCATATTTGGATATTTTACTAGAAAAAGACATTAATGGTTATCTAAAAACAAAACTTAATGATAAAAGTGACGACAAACTTTCCACTTTCCTTTTCTAATGTAGCAAAAAACCCTAATCACCTGCATATGGGATTGATATCTCCCAGTTGAGCAAGAGCATGCTCCATGTACAAACAATTTCTAAAACGAGACAAGCTATTGACAAATAAGTTGATGAAACAAAGATATTAACAGTCTTGTTTAAAGTCATCATTTAGCAAGTTCTATGGTCGATACAATGACCTTGTCCGTAAATACAATCTATCATTAAGTCGAATGCTGACTGACGTTTTTCATACGAATTCTTAAGTCATTATTTAAACACTGAATTGTCTACTGATTTTTCCGTTTGCCCGATAATGACAATAAACACACGGATGGTGTGACCGGTCGACAGGGGATGCTTACTCCTCCATGGCACATGAGCCCATCTATGATCTTTTTTAGAGGTCCGTATTTGCTCTGCTCCGGATTTGAATATTTCAAAGGATTTTTGAGCTTGATTACTGTTTGTTATCGCCATATCTTTCATCGTTTATTAAGGATAAAAAAGGTATTGTCATTATAAAAAATAAAGTTCACTTAATTGTCTACTGAAAAATATTTTTGATGTCTTATCGAAATTGCGTATAATATAAAT